TTTTCATTGATCCAACAAAACACCTCTTTCACAGGCCAAAACTAAGCTCTTGTGGGCCCAAACTCCCCGCTTAAAATTCTCGAATCGCATGGCTAATAAACTCACACGTGTGTGCCTCCTGTACTCTAAAGTCCCATCATGCACCCCAAACTGGGACCCACATCTCAATCAAGCGGCAACGATGCATTGAAAGATTCCACTCATAAGATCTTGCGCTCTAAGTGAGATACACACAAAACAACTCTCCAGTCTCCAAAATTCACCTAAAGTTGCTCAACCTCCGACACATATCTGATTTTAAAAATTCCAACGCTAATATTATTTTTTATTTATTTAAAAAAAAAAAATTTGTAGTTCTTGCCTTAAGTCTAAATCAGAAAGATATTTATTATATTTTTTATTATTAATTTATAAAAAAAATTATAAAAATAAATTTTATTTTTAATATTAATGTCATATAAAAACAATTTAATGAGTTTTATTGATAAAATTTAAAATACACTAGAAACAGCCCACAAGTACAGTCGAAAAATTCCATTGATAAGAAATTTCCTTTTATTCTAATTGATTTGAAAGCTACAATGCCGGAAACCAGTTAGACCGTGTTTGGGCTGCTCAAAATCTCCATCAAGATTTAAATGGTCATTGATCCTGTCTCATTCAGTGTGAAAACTCCTGTCGTGCTTTCCCATGCGTTGATTTTCGATCCAAGGTTTCGGTTTTTTTCTTTTTGCTGCATATTTTCTGTTTGCGGGTTGATGTTTTTATGCTTGTACGTCGTATTCAGCTAAAGATGCTGTTTTAAATGGATTAAACGAAAATTTTCAAGAATGGGGTTTGGTATCAATTTCACATTTTGATGAATTTTTGGGTGAATTCTGTTCAGAGGACCCAGTTATGAATATTTTTGACAAGTTTTTTGGTTTTTATTTTTTTATTATGTTCATTACATGATGTTTGAGTTTCTTGAGATGTATCTGTTTGTGGGAATTCTTGAAATATGAAGTGCAAAGTTGCTTGTTGAATTTGAGTTCTGAATGCTCAATCATAAAAGTTTCTGCTTTTAATTGTTTCCTTTGGTTTAAGAAAATTTCTACTTGGTATGGTACCTGTATTCATAATGAAGGTTTTCTGCGTTTGTGAAATTTGATATTTATTTAGGATTTTACCAATTTATTTCAATCCCAATATATTTGCATTTTGCTTTTGCACGATAGATCAAATTCATGCTTAAACAAAGGGAATGGGAACTTGGAAAAAGCTATCTAAGATTTATCTACCACCAAGGATGGTAATGTTAGAGTTGAATGTACAACTTTTATGCTGTGGGATGTTGGAACAACTCATAATATGCTGATGCTGCAGTCCATGTTATTTGTCATCAGCTTGTTCTATGCCTGTCTCTTTTTCGCCTCTCCTGTTTCAGCTTGAACTGTGAATTGAGGAACAATGTGTGGATAATGCATTGCCTTTTGGGTTTTGACTTAAATTGTTGCTGTAGGAGGGTTGAACTACTTTGAACGTAATGGGGCCTCTGCGAATGTATGTGCTCCATGGTTATCATTTCTGAGTTCCTTTACCTTGCTTAGTTGATTCTTTACAATTTCATAACATCACAATCGCATTAGAAGTGCATTGATATGTGGATTTTCACTTCTTTTTGACTGCAGTGGGAATGTGAGGAAACCTAATGAGACAATGAGGCTTATTATAACCACTTTTGTTGGAGTTGTTCTTGGCTTCTTCATAGGAATATCCTTTCCAACACTTTCATTAACCAAGGTCCCACAAGCTTTGCTCAGTATTTCATTTCCTAAATGTATCTGTTTTTCATTTGGTTCTGATATGCTTCAACACTGAATAATATATAGAACCTATTTCATTGTGTTTAAATTTGGTAGATGAATCTCCCTTCCAGTCTGTTCCCTTCCATTGATCTTACATACATAGAGGACAACTACTCCGGACTTTCAACTCAAGCACTATTTAATGCTTGGACCTCTCTCAGGGGTAATAAGGGGTTGCCTGCTCCATCTTACAAATTTAATGAAGAGAAGGTAAATGCCCCTTTCTTTGCAACAGTTTCCATATTAGAATCCAGGCTCTAGCTTTCTAGGCTACTCTTGTCTTGAAATTACAAACATCAGGATTCTAAGTAAACATTTGAGGGATAGATTATTTAAACCTATTTAAAGAGTTTCACAAAGTTACTCTTAATCAATTATACAGAGATTAAGAATTCAATTTTTGGATTATAAGTATGGAATGTGAAGTGTTTTTTTGGGTAGAGGTATAAGAAGTGTTCATTCACATTAAAATTTAATCATATGGAAACTTAAAATCTGAAATCTTATTTGTATTGACTGATTAAACTCAGTTCCTATCTATAAACAAGTTGCTTATTTCAGCTCAATTTGCTTCATCTAGAATTGTTGCCAGTCCAATCAACTGCTTCTCAAACTTGTTAGTTCTTGGGAAATTACAATTGTTGGATCATAGATTCACGCTGTTGCAGAGTGTTGTTCTAAGAACTTAAGAAAAAACTTTAGTGGTTTTATCCCAACCTCTTTGAACATGGAAGCATGCTTTTTTTGTACAAGGAACTTTGTGAAAGTCCTTTCTTTGCCAGTTGTTTAGTACCTCAGTGTTTGTGTTATTTATTTTTCATGTAATTGTCATTCTGATACAAAAATTCTCTATTTGAGCCATTAGTTTACATAACCCATCAAGAATTGACAATGATCCATTAAGTCTAATTGGCATGCATTTGGACTTACTGATTATATATGAGCACTAACTGTCAACCCCTTGATTGTGGCAGATCTGGATTCCAACAAATCCACGAGGGGCTGAAAGACTTCCCCCTGGTATAATTGAATCTGAATCAGATTTTTATTTGCGCCGGTTATGGGGTCAACCTAGTGAGGTATGCTTCTTCTCCACTGTCATGAATATCACACAATTAAGTAACAAACTCAGAATGCAAATGAAAATCAATGACTTTGATTAATGGATTATAATGTGAGAAAACAAACTAAAAATGTCAAAATCATTAAGTGGTTCGGGCTCAGCTTGAGCACAACTAGGATCATCCATCAGCTTTTCTCACTTGTATTTTGCTAATCTGAAATTTTGTTGACTTCATCACATTTGCAGGACTTAACCATGAAACCAAGGTATCTTGTAACCTTTACAGTTGGCTATGCGCAGAAAAACAACATCAATAAAGCTGTGGAAAAGGTTAGTCCTCTCCACATCTCTTTCTCGACATCTCTTTCTTGTTCTCTGATAAGATGTGCACTCTCTTTTCCTCTCTATAAAGTTTATTTGACAGTTTTCAGAGAACTTCACCATTGTGCTGTTTCACTATGACGGTCAAATTAGTGAATGGGATGAGTTTGAATGGTCAAAAAAAGCTATTCACATTGGTGCTCGGCGGCAGACTAAATGGTTAGCCACTAGCTCTGTTGCAAATCTTAAGTCAATTCTGATTAAGTCATATCCTTTTTTCCTAAACTCAAATTAAAATTTGGTTTGACATAAATACTGAGATTCCTTGATAGGTGGTATGCCAAGCGTTTTCTGCACCCTGACATTGTCACTTCCTACGACTACATATTTATATGGGATGAGGATCTTGGGGTGGAGAACTTTGACGGAGAAGAGTAAAATTTTAAACTTCACCTTCTTAGTTGAATAATTATGGATGGGGAAAACTTGGAATATTTTTTTAAAGCTTTCTTTCTTTGTTAGGTACATAGAGCTAGTGAGGAAACATGGCTTGGAGATTTCCCAGCCTGGTTTAGAGCCAAATAGTGGGTTGACATGGCAAATGACAAAGAAGAGAGATGATACTGAAGTTCACAAGTAAAAACAACATAAGATTGCTATCTCTCTTATTTTTTCATCATTTTTTGTTGAGATTCCTCATAAAGCTTGACTTTTATATTCCTTACCCTCCTTCAGGACTACCAACGAAAGACCTGGTTGGTGTACTGATGCACATTTGCCACCATGTGCAGCGTAGGAATCATTCATTATCAAGCTTGTTTTATTCAAATGTTTGATGGGTTTCTTTATTCTTTTGCACCACCTCATAAGAGCTGTGTAGTTTTCTGCTAATATCTATGTTCTTTATTTGACGTTCAGATTTGTTGAAATCATGGCTACTGTTTTCTCTCGGGATGCATGGCGATGTGTTTGGCATATGATTCAGGTATGAAGCTGTGTAAGCTTATCTCGTTTTGCCTTAAAATAATTTCTCAACTTTCAACAAGTGTGAACATCCTCTTGGATCTGTAATGCAGAATGACTTGGTTCATGGATGGGGTTTAGATTTTGCTCTTAGAAAATGTGTTGAGGTTAGAGACTGCCTCGTTTCTCCTAATATTAACTTGCACCTGGTTATCATTATAATTAAGATCTCTGCTGATATTATAACTCTGCTTGTAGCCTGCACATGAGAAAATAGGAGTTGTAGATGCTCAGTCAGTTGTACATCAAAGTGTTCCTTCACTTGGGAACCAGGTAAAACGCAGTGAAGTAACCATTTTGATTACCTTTTCTATTTGCAGGGTACCTTTCACTCATTGCTTTCCTTCCTTCCTTCTGTAGGGTAAAGCAGAGAATGGAAGGGAACCATGGGAAGGGGTATGTCCTCAATGACCTCCCCCATCTTTGTGTTCATGTGCATGTGTAACTTTGATGCATTTGTCAAAGACAACGGAAATATGATTATTAGCAATTTTACATGCACTGTTTCTTTATGAATGTTAAAAGTTTTGATTACTCATGCCAGGTGAGGGAGAGGTGTAGGAAAGAATGGACAATGTTTCAAGATCGAATGATCAATGCAGAGAAAGCATATTTTGAGGCAAAGGGAATAAATCATTCCAATGCGATGACTCCTTAACAAGTAGATAAGCCCGTAACACAAACAAGTGGAATCAAAGAAGCCATTGCTAAATTCGAAGTGACTTCTCTTTTAGGTGATCCATTGTGACTTAGCATTAATTTATCCAATCATTTTGTAAAAGTCACTAACATGCTTAGAAATAATTCTACCAATGTTAATAAGATTATTCTTTCTGGTAATTTGTTCATAAATTTCTTCTTTCTGTCATTGATTTTTCATGTTCAGTAACTCACTGTAGAGGAAAAAATAAAATGGGAACAATGTGAAATTCTGTACAACGTTGTGTTTATCTCCCTTGGTAACATGTCAAATGTCAAAAGAATGAGCACTATGCAACTGGGTTGAATGTAGTAGATCTATAACTTGACATGATATTTTCAACTACCATAAATGAGTAATGTGGCAAAAATCTCAATATGTTAATGCTTGGAGACCTGTGCTTCTTTTTCCTGATTGTGGTTATGGCTCCGAGTTTTTGTGAGGCTGAAGACCAGAGTTAGCAGTTAGAAATAACCTTTGGTAATTGCTTCTTCCAGCTCTTTGAACTCCCATGCATCATCTGCTAAATATTCTCCTGTAAAGAGGAAAGTTGAACTCTTTAACATTATATTCCCCTTTCGCATTGGGAAAACTAACTAGTTATTGGATATTCCATGGATAAGTACAAAAGATCCAACCGAGGGAGCTTACCAATTGAATCTCTTCGAAGGGCAGTTAAATGAGCACAACTGCAAGAGAGGAAGTAAGTCAGAAGAAAAACCAACCCGGCTAATGCTAAAATTAGGAGTTTCTCCTCCTGGCACAGATTTTCTCTTAAAACAACATATTCTCAAGACTATCTGCCTAAGGAGCCCTTTCGAGAGGCCAAAGAGCCAAGGCATAACAATTCTTTTTTGGCCAAAAGGAATAACCATTCTAACAAAAAAATTATAGATCATGGTTTTACATGTGACAGCCACTTAAAACCAAGGCAGCAACTTTCTCAAGCATTGAATTTATTAAAAATGGTAACCTGCCCAAAGCTTTCCCAAAATCTGCACACAGTGACCGGATATATGTTCCTTTTGAGCATGTCACGCGGAAAATCAGATTTTGTCTACAAAGACATCAAAAACAGTTTCATTAGGCTCAAAATGTACATCACATACATGCTAAATGGAATTGCAAGGATGTAATTATAAATACAAAATCAAAATATTCACTTACATTGCAGCCACATGATCTATTTATTATATCAGACGGAGAGAGAGATACCTGTCTTCTAGACTACGCTCAATATCAAACTTGAAAATCGAAATTCTTCTAGGTGAAAGTTCAATGCTTTCGCCTCTTCTTGCTTTATCATACATCTTTTCACCCCCAACCTAGTTGCAAGTAATAAAAACGCATGAGCAATCACATTACCTTTCTGTAGGGCGTGTGAAGAACATGTTTTACTGTTGAAGTTTCCAATATATTGAAGAATTTCACAATGTTACAGGTTTCTTGAAGGGCATATGAATGTAATCATAGCATTTAAATGTGCGAGTAAGAATAATAAACCAACTTGGAGGATGTAAATAAACTTACACAGAAAGATTTTGTGAACTACCCTCAACAAAAAATTTATGACATTTACATAAGAAGGTCGAGTGGACAACAAGTACTAAGAAAGTTAAATGTCAATCAAAATTAAGGAGAACAATGTGCTGAAAAGGACATAGTTTTGCTATTTAGTAAATTTCCCAAAATTCACAGAAGTAGGGGTGAAACAGGAAAGACAACTACATAAATTCACGTATTTGAATTCTATGGTGTTTTGTTCTTGCATTCATGTGTATAATACTTCAACACTGGGGGTTTTAGATAAAGCAAGAATGAATCCTAATTTCAGCTTTCAGAAATTATTTAATGAGATGAATATCTATTTCTGCATTCTGCCAGACAAAACATACTCAAGAATGGAGGACTACTACAATTTTTCCACAAAAATTACTAATGCTTAGAGCACATAATCTTACCTTAATGGCAGAGAACATTGGAGGGACTTGCCATATTTCCCCACAGAAGGATGCAGCAGCTTTCTTTATGTCCTCATCTTTTATATGCTCCCATGGCTCACGCTGAACAACCTGCATAAAAGCAAAATGCAAATTAAACATAGCAGTTTTAATTTTCAAAAGAAACTAAATAATTCCAACAGATGACATTAAAGAGAGATGGAGTTAGATGAAATTATGCACAATTAAGCAATAAAATACCATCTACATGCCCTGGACAATATTAGATTAGTGCTAATTACCAGTATTTTTACTTCTTCTTTTCTATACTTGAATGCAATTTCTTTTCATTTGAATTTGGAGTCTGTACATCATATATATTTTACTCAATAAGTCATAATAGAGAGTAACACACCGGTGAATCAGCATCCCAAGTTGAAGTTGCCTCCCCTAAGCGGAAGACTCCACTATAACCCTTTATCAATCCTTGATATCTGCATTGAAAATAGTTAACACCACCAGAGAACATTATTTGGTGCATGTTTGAGGAGCACTTTGAACTCAAAATTTTACTGGGATTTGGAACAGAAAGAGGGGAAGAGTAGCCTCGCAGACATGGACATGTGTAGAGATTGTCTATAAAATTTGGACATGTGATCAGATCCACAACTTACCTTTCCACCAACTTAGTGGCTTTACCAACACATACAATCAATAGCCCTGTTGCCATAGGATCAAGTGTTCCAGCATGTCCTACCTGTAAGTAGAATCCAGGAAAGAAAATGTTAGTGACCTACATGAGGCTAGCTACAGTCAGAGACTGAATAGCAGAAAAAAAAAAAAAAAAAAAACACCTTTTTAACTTTCACAAGGCGACGCAGCTTGCCACAAACTGTAAATGAGGTCCATCCTGTTTTGCAATATGTTAATGTTATTCTTCTAAATA